ACAAAAAAAAAAAAAAAAAAAAAAAAAACCCTAAAAAAAATGAAAAAGCGGGAAATCGGAAATCTGGGCATCGTAGCTGTCGGCACAGCTCTGGCCATGTGCTTTATCCACGTTGTTGTTGATGTTTGGCTTCACTTTTTTCTCTTTTGGCTGAATCATTTTTGACAGAGCTGTGAAATGTTTATAAGTAAATTTCCCGGCCAAAACAATCAAACGAAGTTGTATTCATTAATATAGAATATCTTTTTATTTCTGCTTAAAATTTACTCAAAGTCCAAAATATAAAGTAGAGAAACAGAAGAGCTTAAATGTTAATAATAATAAGCTAAGTTTATAGTATATGCAAATTTTAAAATTTAAATAAATAAATATTTCTGATAAAAACAAATTATTTAGTTGACTGTATAAAACTCATTTCAAAAGTTCTCCCAACAAAAAACAGTAAAACATTTTACTCCGATTAAAAAATATTTTAAACAACCTGTAACACACGCATTTTATAAAGAAAACGCTTCAAACCGTCTTTTATGTTACTTTTATATGGTCAAATTATTAAAAAAAAAAAAATAAAAATACTAGTCAACAGTGACCTGCTCCAGGTGAGGCTCGAACTCACAACCCCGGCATAGCTCATACACAATAGTACTGATTATAAGTACCGTGCGCTAACCAATTGCGCCACTGGAGCTGTTGCTCGATGTCTGCCAAATGCGCATCTAAAGCAGAGAGCCACTGAGAACTAGAATATTTGCTGAGCGAATTCTGACTCTCGCGCATTGCTCTCACTTTCGCTCTCTCGTTTTCTTACTCACTCTCAATCATTTTGTGGCACACTGGTCGTGCGTGTGTTTGTGTTCTCGAGCATGTGTATGCATGACATTTGAAATTTTGTTGATGCCGTGTTAATTCGCCGCGGCAGCAAAGCTGATAAGAATGTATGCTTATATAAAATTCATTTTAAAACCGAATAAATTGAGTCATTGAGAGTATGTAGTGCCGGCTAATTGATGCAATAGACTATCGACAATCGGCAATCGGCATGACAACAATATTAATTATAAATATGTATTAATGCATTGAAAAGTGAAATTAGTTTAGTAACAGTTTTTACTTTCAATGGACCGGCGATCCAGCCCTTGCACAACTAAAGTAAACAATGTAAATTTTATGCTTTTCACTTTCGTTGCGAGAACAGGTGCAGGTTTAGCGGCGATTACGAAAAGCCCGTTAAAATTGCAGCGACATCAGATCCAGCTCCCAGCTCCAGTTGGCACAATGCGAAACGTTAAACAAAACAAAAACTGAAAAGAAAAAAATAAGAAAACAAGAGCAAACAGCAACAAAAAAAAAAAAAAAACAGTTACAATTCGATTTCAAATGAATTGCAAAATGCAGCGAAAACAATAGAGTGTGCGCAAAAGTAGAGCGAGGGAGAGCGCGGCGAAGCGGGGCGAATAAGCTCAAGCTCAACTGTGCACTGTGTACCGAGCACGGCGAGTACTTTTGCGGCGATTACTGAGAAAATCAAGCTCGGAGTCAGTCAGGAAATGCAAATTGCGCTAATTACGTTGGGCATAAAGCGTTGCGATATTTACTGTTGTATGCGCTGTACTTGCTGTTGTTGTAAGTGTTATTGCCATAATCGTTTCTAACTGAATAAAAATAAAATGCAATGCAATGAACATAAAGTACCCTCACACACACACACTCGCATATGCATATGTATAGCTAAGTGCAACAACAACAGCAACAGCTGTGACAAATGACCATTGTATGACATTAATAATAATAATTTAATGCTGGAAAAACGATTTCGCAATGGAAAAAACTTAGCGAAGCGCGCAAAAGCCAAATCCCTTGTCATGTCATGCTGCAATTAAATAAAAGCAGAAAAAAACACCGGCGACAACAACAAAAACAATTATAAATGAAAAGCGACAACAGACAGTCGGACATTAAACAGTTAATAATACTAGCTGACAATTAATGATGTATGTAAAATGTGACCTCAAAAAAATATAGAGACATACAACTGTCTGTGCCACATCGCGTGGCGCCTTACACTTGTATAACTGTAAGCGTAAACGAAATCGAATTAGAGTCCAATCAGAAAACAGACACACACACATACACGCGAGTCTAAGCGTCACATATCAGCTGCAATGTTTTTCCATTTCCAAGTTTGCATCTCCAGGCAGCAGCTTGTTGGTGGGCGGTGGGCGCGGCCGGTGACTGGCGCCAATGAAATCAAAACAACGATAGGAACAAAAACAATTCGAGGAAAAAACACCAAGCTCTACTATAAATAATAATAATAAACAATAGCAAGACTCAACAACAAAATCTTAGAATATTAAATGAAACATTACATTATAACAATACTATATGTATATAGCTATATAAAGCAACAAATCTTTAAATAGAATTAATGTTTAAAGATACGATCGAAAATCAAGTTATTTTCAATGGAACTTTACTGTCTTTAAGCTGAACAGAAAAAAAAATCCCCTTATAACTGGCAGAATTTTGTATTAAGTGCTTTTAAAGGAATATCATTGCAATCTATATTTAAACAAAAAAATATATGCTAATGTTCTATGAAAAGATCTTAAATTAGGTCTAACAATATAAAACGTAAAATTGAATTAAAATTTTATAGCCGAATACAAGGAACATTTTGTTTGGCATCAAAATAAAAATTGCATTAATATAAATTTTAATTTTAATAGAAATTTATACATATTTATAAATAAAAACCATTATGAATATAAATAAAACGCCATTAGTAATATAAATAAATATTAAATTATCAAGTCATTAAAATTTGAAATTCAGACTTTAACGCTCTAAAAATACTTACACGATATTTATCTTTAAAAAAAAAGTATTCAGCTGTGCTTTTATTAATTCTGTCAAAATGTGCTTTTAAACCAATTTTAGAATTATTTATTAATCGCTCTTTGTTTTTTTTCACGTATGTATTATATGAGTCATAAAAGCTTATCTTAAAATTGCTGTTTATCAATTAAATCATTTAAGCAACAGCGCCCTCTTTTGTCTGTCTCTCGCATTACTTCTTATCAATTCCAATTGCAGTTCCAGCGTGGAAATTAAGATAAATTCCAAGCCCACGCTGCACAGCGACTGATGAACGTAACTTTAGTCATGCATGCTCACATGAATACATACATACATACATACATATGTACATAGTAAGTACGTACGTACAAGCACATGCTTGTATGTATGGGTCACCCAAAACCCAGCTAGCTTAATCTCTTTCAAGTACTGCATTAAGATTGGACCTTGTTTATATTGTCTTAGCCACTTGCATGCCTATCATTGTTGTTGTTGTTGTTGTTGTTATTTGCTTATCAGCTGCAGCCGCCGCTGCTGCTCCTACTGCTGACTGCACTTGTAGCGCCACTTTCGGTTTTATTTGCTAACGCTGCAGTTCGAGTTCGAGTTCGACTTCGACTCTCCAAGTTCGCTTGACTTGAATCACGGCGAAATTGTTGCTGGGCTGGAAATGAAGATTCATTGTGTTGTTGACACAGCTGCAGTTGCTTTTGCGCTGTTGAACTTTGCAATGTTTGCGCTGGCAGCGACTTTTACCTCAGGGCCAGCCTTCGCTGCTCACTTCATCATCATCGTTCCAGCCGCAGGCACTCCATGAAGGCGAAAACACAGCAACAAAACTAACGTAAAATAACGTAAAATGAGCTTTAGGAGAACACGCCTGCGCGGCTAGCTCGTTTTGCTTGGTTGCTCTTTCGCACTGTCGCCCCCGCATGGCGACTGTCTCGCTCGCACGCATACGCACATCTACACGCACTCGCACACAGTTACAGCAGACACTTTGCATGCTATTTGTTTCGTTTATTTGACTTTCTCATTAACTTTTGCTTACTCTGCGTCGCTCGGCTCTTCTTTTTTTTTCTTCTCTTATATTTTGTTGTTTTTGTTTAACTGAAAGTTGCCGCAAGATTTGTATGCGCACCTGATCAAACTTCACGTTCACGTCATTTTCATTTTGCCGGCTTGTGGGAATTATTTTGTTGATCTTGTGATTTGCCAAGTTTACACGCGTATTAGTATGTGTATTTGTATGTATGTGTGAGAGTGTGTGTGCTGGTATGTGTGTAAATATTTGTTACGCCTAAGCTTAGGCCTAGACTTTGAGCCTAGACGCAGGTGCCGCAATTAAAGTCTATTAAGCTGAATTTATAACCTGCAGCCGCAATGGTTATAAATTAAAAAATTTAGTCAAATTAGCGCAGCGACGACTGCAGCCGCGTAAGTCGCTTTAAAAAAGTGCAAAGCAAGGCGTCTAGCGGCCCCAACGAGTGCGACTGCGAGTGCGAGTGCGAAGGCGAGTGCATTGCAGGTGTTTGAACTCAAATGTCAGCCAAATGTCGACGCGTCGCTAAGGCGAATGCTAAGGCAATGGCGAACGGGGCGAATTCGGGGGATGGGCTAAATAATTGGGCGACAGACGCTGACGTTGCTCCGCTGCTGCCGCTGCTGGCAGTAAACATAAAATTTGCGAATGGCGATCGCACGGCGCGTGCAATGCGAAATGCAAAACAAACAGTTTTTCGATATCACACCTACATACCCACAAACACACACGCACACACACACACACCCAATGTGAACAATTGAATGCGTTCAGGAGTAAAAGTATGTCACACTCACACACACGCACGCTTGCATACAAGCGCGCAGTGCCAGAGCGTGAAAGCTCTCTTGAGAGAGCGCAACTGGAAAGCAGCAAATGTCTACATTCCAATTGGGGTGCAGCAGCCGAAGGGCGTTGACATTTCGAGGGCAAAAGCAACATGAACAGTGACGCTCAACAATCTCTCTCTCTCTCTCTATCTGTCACTGTTTCGCTCTCCCTCTGTTATGGATTGCAGTTTCCAGTGTCAGTTTCCAGTGCGCTGATTTGTGCCTGTCGGTTGGCCAATTTTTGTCTGTGCGCCGCATTTGAATTTCAGTTTCGTCAACTTAATCAAAACGGCGGCCCAGTTGGCGCTGACGCTGACGTCGGCGCCGGCGCTGGCAAAACGAGCTGGTGACAAATCTGCAACTGCAGCGACAGCGGCTGCGGCAGTGGCAGCGGCAGCCGTGCCCATTGTGTTGCACCGCCTGCCACGGCATCTGCATGTGGGCGTCGTTTTGCGGACGCCGATTTTGAATTTGATTTTTGGGCCTGCCTCATGTGTTCCGTGGCGATGGTGGGTCAAATGCCTGGCCAAAAGGGTGTGACGTTTGTTTCATTTGATTTGGTTTTCTTGTTGTTGTTTTTCTCTTTCATTTTTTTTTTTTTTTTTTTTGGTGACTGTCTTTGGCTTCGACATCGAATTCGAATTTCGAGCTGCGGCTCCGTGTGGCCGCATGTGGGCTTAATTTATTTTGACTTTTGGCCATTTAGCTTGAGATTTATCTGGCCTAAACTATGCGCCGAGCCAACAGCAACAATGACAACATTTCGGAGTCGCCTGTTGACGCGTGGATTTAATGTGCCAAATGCGAACTGCGAGCACCGAGCTGCGAGCTGCGAGCGGCTGTTCGCTCAGCCTGTTAACGGATTAGAGCCTGGGTGGGTCTCCATCTGGCACCATAAACCATTTCTTGACACGCCCGTCAAATTGAGTTGTCACCCATAAGAAACAGCTCTCAGTTCTCTGTTCTCTGTTCTCGGTTGTCTCTTGCTCATGTTCTAGGGATTAGCGATAAGGGAATCATTCCAGACCCAGACAACAGTTCATAAACTCTGCATTATTTATCATAAATTTCCAGTCTATGTGCGTCAGCAGACGGAACTGCAAAGGTTGGTTGTGATTTTGGCTAAAATAAATCAAATATTCTAATTTTTTTGCTATTCATGGAATATTTCTTCAGTCATTGGAATGTATTGTCTAAATGGAAAAGTTTGCTTAGTTTTGATAGTTTTTTAAATGGAATATCTAAAATCTAGGTTAGGTAAGCTCACTCAACGTCTTTCTCATGTCCTCTATCTGTTAATTAGATTTTATATGTTTTATACTAATATAATGATCATTTTACTTTTACGCAATATCAAAATACGATAACTACTTGGATAAGCCCTTATATGATAGTCCTGGAATATTCCATTAGGTTAGATTTCTTGAACCATTCCAGTGGTTATTTATGTCAGCTTAAGTTATTTAAAAAATCCATATATGTAAATACTATATAACATCTGCTTTCCATCATTTGTTAACTCTTTTTCACAACTCATAAAGTAAACAACAATTTTTGTCGCATTTCCCTTCCATTTCAACTCAAGTGCCTGAAACTCTTCAAGTCTTCCAGTCTGGAAATCTGGCATTTTTCAAACAACAAAAAATTGCTGACAACTTGTGTATCCGCTGTCTGTTTGTTGGGCTCTGGTTGTTTATGCAGCTAACTGCGGGTGCGTCTAATGGTTCAATCAGCGGCAAATTTTCCAATCAGTTCCCACATTAATTATGCCACAATTAAAAGACGACTACGAATAGGCCGGAGTCTGCAGAGTTTGGGTGCGGGAATTCCACTTGAATGGCTGTCAATAGGGCGACCAATGCGCCACTTGAAGTAGGCACAGCAGCAGAAGAGGCAAAATAGAGAGAGAGAGAGAGAGAGAGAGAGAGAGAGAGAGAGAGAGAGAGGGAGAGAGAGATTTTGAGCCCAAATGGACCCTTAGCCCGCATGTGTGAGCAGCTATTGACGCCCTCGCTTTCTGCTCCTCTCTCTTTCGCTCTCGCTCTGTCTCTCTCACCCTGCCTGCCATTGTCTCTGCTGTTGACCTCCAGCGTGGACAAATGCCCACACAGCTGTGTAGCTCTGCTGGCTGCTCTGCTCCGGTCCGCAAAGTGTTTGCAAACTGTGCACAGAGAGGCGGCTAATTTCGTAGAAATCACAGAGCGTGATAGACAGAGAGCGAGCGAGAGAGAGAGAGAGAGGTAAAGTAGAGGCAGACAGACAAGAGCAGCGTCAGCAATTGGACTGGGAACGGGTGGGCATTGTCAGCGTTACGCATTTCCTCTCAGGTGTGCCGATCTGTCCGTCCGTTCGTCCGTCGGTTCGTCTGTCCGCCCGTCCGTTTGTCTGTCTGTGTCGGTGCCAAACAAAAGCGTTAAAAAGAAGGTGCAGCTGGGGCAGCGGCCGTTGCGGCTGCGGCGGGATCGCAATCGGGATTAATGAGCAACAGTCGCAGACAACAACAACAACAACAACAATAACAGCTACAAAGTGAGTGGGAAAATGGAAAGGCCGCTCATTGAGCAAACAAACAGCAAATAAGCAACATGTAAGAGAACTATGTGAGCGACAATGTGGATAACGTTTAGATACCCTGTAAAATATGAAATGTGTGAATACCTATATAGAGTATATACATACATATATGTATAAGTATATATTATATAGTATATGYATAAATATATATTATATACATATACAGTTGTAATGTATGCCATGTAAAAAACATTCACTACATTGTGACCCCTCTATGCGATTCTCAGTAAAATAAGCAAGTTCAACGTATGTGAATGACGCTATAAAAGGAATGAACAGTAGATCAAAGAATAGTGCTATAGTGAGAATAGAGAACTATAGAATGAATAGATAGACAAATGGAAGATTCCAGATGAAGTAACTACTAATAGAGTTCAAGGAGAGTCACCTATCTCCGCTATCCAAGTGTAAATCCCTACTTACAACAAATCTCAACATTTGAAACTAGAACACCCAACTGCATTCGATTACAGGGTATCATTACAGCAAAGCCGTGTCGCTGACTGAGCTGCTGGCTGTTGGCTGTTAGCTGGTTGACTGAGGTGAGCTGGTGGTGCGACTGGGACTGAGCTGGTGGCTAATGATGCCGCTGCTACGTGACGTTCGTTGCCAAGTGGCAGCAAAAGAATTGTTTCTGATATTTTTTCTCATTATGAATTGTGCCATTCTGTGGCAGACGTCGCAGCGTTTGTTGTCATGACTGCAGTCGCCTTATCTGCCACTGACTCTTACTCACTCTCCCCCCTCTCCCGCTCTCTCTCTCTCTCTCTCTCTCTCACTGTCTCTCACTCTTTATCTTCATCTGTATCTGTAGCTGCAACGCACCTCGTTTTCCGGCTTACGGTAAAGTCTGTTGACTTAGCCGAAAATAAAATGAGAGATAAGAAAATGCCGAGTGGAGGGCGGCTATAATAGGCGGGGCAAGCGGCATCTTGCATGTTGAATGTTGCATGTTGCATGTGGATGTGTGGCAAGCCGCTTCTGTTTTTGCTCAGCTTTTTTTCATATCCGTCATTTAATTGACGGCTCGAGGACTTTTCACAATAAATCATAAAGCCACGATGATTTGTTTGCAATTTAAATGCAAATAGCGACCACCCAACTAGCTGGAGGAAGAAGAAGACTCCGCTGGTGCAGAGCGGCAGAGGCATTGCAAAATTATAACTTAATTTCGAGCAACGAAAATGTTGGCAATCGCTCGAATTGCACCAGAAATCGCCTCGAGCGATAACTGGAGCGGGGTACGACGCGAGAAGCGGGGGGCGGGCGACGATGAATGTGGCCAAAAGTGGAAGCCACACAATGCGAGCCAATGCGACCACGGGGCATGATTTGTCTTCAAAATCAACTCACAGACCGAAGCGAACAAAGCTAACGAAAAAAAAAACTCGCAACTTGGAACAAATGAATGCGAAATACGAGATTTGCGAATCGATTCCCAATGATCGACCGATCGAATGAGCTGTAGCTAAGATTGAAGAGATTGAAATGGACAGAGATTATGATTAAATATGTTGCAGAATGCTAAGAATTTATTAAATGTATAAGGGGATTGCTATGGTGGTTATCGATAAATATCGATTTATTTTATCTCAAATAATACAGTTAACTATAATTAATGTATTAATCGAACTTGGATGACATATGCATACGTTCAGTTATCAGTTCTATGAATATTTCCCACTCTAAGTTATCGATAGCAATTTTTAGTCTGTTAAGGGATCAACATGCTTAGCTAGTTGCTTCTTWTTAGACTAAGAAGAATATTGATATGTATTTTTATAATAATTATAATTTTAATAGCATTTTTATGGCTGTTTTCCATGTGAAAAATAAGTTATCGATTATTAGTAAGCATAATTTTTATCGCTCTGGTCTATCGTTTGTCGACTTAGGTACATTAATATTTAAATATCCTTTACTACAATTACTATTTGGCATTAGCTGTAAATGTTATCGATATACGCATAAAATTAGGTTGACCAGAAAAAAATGAACTTTCAAGTGATCTAAATTTAACCCTTAACTGATAAGAACATAGCTCGATTTTCGTTTCATTAAAGCTATAGATCTATGTATGTATGTAAGAACTCTAAGGTATTTCAGGCTATCTTTACTCTCAGTCCAATCCACCCTGCAGTTGGCGTGTAGGGCATTTGGGCAAAGGCCTGACTAAGCCCTGGCTGTAAGGGCAATTCCAAGAAACGCATTGCTTTGTTTGACGTCTCCGGCTGTGGGTCTCAGTCAGCCGTTGGCAGATCAAGCTACACTCCAGGGCCCCAACCAAAGCCGAGCCCCAAATATTAATAAAAGTCGTCATCGTCCAAAGGAAGCGCAGTCGAGCCCAAAAATACAAACGAAAGACCAAACCACAAAGCACACAAAAAAAAAAGGCAGCCGAAAGAATGAGAAAAAAAAGTTATGCCACGCCGGTGTTCAACAAATTTCAATCTCGGCTCAAAGGTAAAGGCAAAAAGGCGGCCAGCAAGCAAAAGAAGCAACGGCAACAGAGGCTGGGGTTGGGGCAGCGGTAGGGGCAGCGGTAGAGGCAAAGGTAGCGGCCGGGGCAGCTTTGGAGGCAATGGAGACTGCTTTTGGGGCAAGATGCACGTGCAGCATTGAAATGCGCAGCGCGTTGTGCCCAAAGGATCTGCGCTAAATAAGAAGCAGGCAAGCGAGACAGACGACCGAAGAAAGAGACTCGAAGAGAGAGAGCGAGAGAGGAGCAGAGGGAACGGCAAGGTAGTCGAAATGAATTGAAAGAATTCCTTGCGGGGCAGAAACGTCGACGGGCAACTCGTCTCGTCGCTGATCAAACGCAAAGATAGCCACAGCCGGGCAGACAAAGTACAGGGTATACAGGGGAGGAGGAGAAGCAGGAGACGGTGCACAGGGTATCACAGGGGTATCTGGATTTGAGGCTTGGTCATTCGTTTTGACCAAAATGCGCCTAAGAATTTCTGTGGCTTCGCCTGCGCCTGCGCCTTTTGATTTCACAGCGTCCTCTTCAAAGAAGGCTTCACTGTGTCTGTGTGTGTGTGTGAATAGTTTTTGGTTGAATTTGATTATTTTTTTTTTTTGTATATATGTACATTTTTTTTTGGGGGCTTTTTCAAGGCTTTTGTCGTTTGCCTTTGTTCTGGCAATCGAGCTGAGGACGGCCACATTATATTACGATTTGAATTTCAGATTGAGTTTTAATAGCACCACCAGCCACACCGCCACAGTGAAGTGGAGAGCGAAACCACACCTGCATTTGATGTGGTTCTGTGTTACTTTTCGCAGTTCTGTTGCAACTGCTGCACACCTTCCCTCTCCCTCTCTCTCTCTCTCTCTCTTTCTATCTATCTCTCGCTCTCCCTCTATCTGCACTGCAATCTTGTTTTCTCGCTCTCTTTTTTTGGGCGCGTAGATCAGCTGCCACCGCCTCTTGCCACTTGCCTCTCGGCGCTCTGCTGCAACATTTCTGGGGTGTGAAATTTGCTCATAAAAGTAAAAAATAAAAAAAAAATAAGCAAAATA